GGAGCAGGAGGCAGAGCTGAAGCCCAAGGTTGAGGGGCTTTCACCCAGCCCCTAGAGCCTGGCACTTTGAACTCAGACTTAAAGCCTCCAAACTGTTAGAGAATAAACTCCTGTTTGTTCAAGCCATCCCACTGGTGGTATATTCTTGTCAGAGCAGCACCAGGGAACCAGAACAGGTGGGAAGGATGTACTCACGGGAAGATGTGGGGGAGCAGTATTCCAGGTAAAAGGTCAAGGAGGAAATGGGGCCTGATGAAGCCAAAGCAAAGGGAAGCCTGGGAGGGGTTAGCGTCGGGAATATTAAGATAGAATTTGCTGTTGTTAGGTGCTATCAAGTCAGCTCTGGCGCACAGTGACCCTGTGTGCAACGGAGCGAAACACTGCCCAGTCCTGCGCCAGCCTCAGTCCTTGCTATGTTTCAGCCTATGTTCAGCCACGATGTTAGTGCATCTCATTGAGGTATTCTATTTGGTGACCCTGACCCTATACTTTGCCAAGCATGAGGTCCTCCAGGGACCAGATATAATTGACATAAGGCAGATCACGTTTTAGTGCACTTCACTTGATTACGATTTGAAGATACTGTGGTTTTTTTTTTTTTTTCCACACATTGAAGGTTTGTGGCAACCTTGTACCGAGCCAGTCTGCCAGTGCCATTTTCCCAACAGCGTGTGCTCACTTCGTGTCTCTGTCGCATTTTGGTCATTCTCACAATATTTCAGGTTAGTTGCAATGCTAGTGCACGCTAACTAGACTACACTGTAGTGTAACCATAACTGTGATAAGTACTGGGAAACCAAATAATTTGTGTAACTCACTTTATCGCTATATTCGTTTTATTGCAGCGGTCTGGAACCGAGCCTGCAATATTGCCGAGGTCTGCCTGCATAGTCAAACCATCCTTTTCAGTTTGTAGTTCTTTGAGTTTTAACAAATGCAGAACCACAGGACCACCAACCACATCAAGACACAGAACAGTCCCATCACCAAAAACACTTCCTTGTGTCCACTGTGTGTGGCAGGTCCCCACTGTGAACCCCTGACAACCACTGAGCTGGTGTCTGTCCTTTCGTTTTGCCTTTTCCAGAAGTCACGTGGAT